TCCTGAGCTATGAAAGAGCAACCTCTGAGCAATAACGTTTTCCTCGGGGATGTTCTCGGGCCTGTGGTAATGCGTTGTGTGGTTTCTTTTTTTTTTTTTATATAATTTTTCTTTTTTTGTGTGTTGTGGTTTGGCTTTGTGAGGCTATAGGGAAGAGCGTTGCAGGAAGGGTGGTCAGCAGAAGAGCAGTAGCCTGTCATCTTTATGGACTAAAACTGTCAACACTAATGACCCAAGAAACAAACTGAAAAGACTCCCCTATACACAAGCACACACAGTCACATGCATATAAACAGACAGACACACACAAATCCCTGTCTGCTTATCCAAGGATACGCCAATTTAATAATATAAGGATCAACTGGTTTGTTTTTATGACTTTATAGGGATTTTTTCCCTGAGAACAGAGTGGTTTTGTCTAGAGTACAGTCCCTGTGACGTACATAATGACCTCTGTGCTACAATGTAACCTTCACACTTATCCGCTCACTTTACCATAAGACGAGTAAAGCAGGGACATTAAATGCTGCAGGTCACAACTGCAAACAAGTGCTTAAAGTTGGGTAAGAAAATGTAGAAGACAAAAATGCTAGGCAGACTTGCAACAGGTTCTCACAGTCAAGTCAGGTGATATAATAGAGACATGTCACTTTCTGGTCATGTTCCATGCTAAATAATCTAGTGTTCAGTGTATTTAAAAACTGACGTTTTAGTATGAGTTGACTGATATAAACATGTACATGGTGTCCATATTTCTGTTTGAATAGGGAACCCCACAGCAGATTTGACCATCTGTCAATCAATGGGGTTTCCAAGCTGTCCAGTTTGGACTTGGCCCTTTCAGTTATATATTGTAGTCCTAGTCCTAGTGTGTGGGTGTGTGTTTGTTTTGGTGTACTACATGGTTTCTGTGTGAGTTACGATAGCCTAATGTCTGGATAGGTGAGTCATTGAGAGATAAATGACCCACCACAGTCATTTAGTTATCCATGAACACTGTGTCAGCTTACTGTATAGAGTATCTTTTTTATCTTTTAACTTCCACAGAGAAGTTCTTACAATTACAAAGACCTGTGTATATATAGTATACTTTATATATATATATATATAGAGAGAGAGAGAGAGAGAGAGAGAGAGAGGTAGATTTATACGTGTATATATATATATAGAGAGAGAGAGTGTGTTTGTGTACGTGTTTATGTGTGTATATAACAAAATATGCATAAAAGTATTATAAATCTAGATTAAAGTGCAAATGCAAAACTGTAGGCTGCAATAATAGAATAGGTGTTTGCTGAATTGTTTAACGTAAAATTAGACACAACACAGGACATTAAGACAGTTCAAGTTATTCAGTGGCCTGTATTTTTATGTCTCACAGGCTCGTTTAAAATAAAATATGGCGTTGACTGGGTCCATTTGGTAATTGAATTATTCTGCTTTTTATTTCTTTTCTGCATCTAACAGATGTTCAGATGATGTTGTCCTCTATTGCCCGTGCAATGTGCTTATAAAATATTAATCTCTGTTTTGAATGCATTTGAATTTGAAATGCTGTAAGCATTTTGATTACATACTGACTAGTTATTAACACTAATCTCATCAGCCATATTTAATATATTTTTTGTCTAACGATACAGTGTTAAACTTCTGTTCCATATTCTAGATGTGCATGTTAGGATGAAAGCAGACCACCCACGTCTGAGTCTTTTGTTTCAGGTAATCGTGCTGATGTAATGCTTTGGAGTGAACCTGTTTGATCTTGTTCTTAACGAAACTTTTAAACAGACATACAGCACATAGGCGACTCTTTTCGTCTCGTCTCTCTCTGCTTTTTTATGTATGGTTCATTGCACTTAGTAGAGCAGTTCTGCGCTCATAAAATATGATATGTATTATTCACGTCTTCCTCTATCACTAATGCTCCAACATTTTATGCCCCCATGAAGTCATGCTATCTCAGAGGTGACAGACATTCATCTAATCCATATCCAGCTGTATTTTTCCTCCTTTCCATTGTCAACATCTTGCACTGAGCATCTTAATCAAATATGTTTATGTAAAGGAAAGCAGCGTACTGTGATTTCACCAAGTAGGACATGTTTTTGGATCAACATCATTGGTCTGGGCACAACATTATTTTCGACCAATCAGATTTTAAGGTTTGGGGTAGACCATAAGATTGAACAGCATGCATATCAACATTCATAATATCCATCTGATTTTAGTGATAGGCTATGGTTTGGGATGGGATTTAGTGAAGTAAATTTCACCATACTGGCGTGTACAATAAAAACTGGGAGAGTTTTATCATTGCATTTTTAATGTCTGCCAGATTTCCCCTTTTCATTACACAGCAGATCTGAATTTGGTGGAGTACCAAGTCACATGCTGCATTTCTGATTTGATACAATAAATTTTGCATCATGTGAGAAGTACATAACATATTAGACCTATTAGCTCTTTCATCCATTCATCCTTCTGTGACTCCCATGGCCCCACTACCTTCTAGAAACCACTGACTCACATACACAAACATACACATGACAGAGCATGTCAACATCGGGCTTGTTTTTTCATAGAACAAAACTTGAAATATAGTCCAAATGTTTATTACTTAACTAAACAGTGTCATGGTTTACTGAAGAATCTTTAACATCAATTAAACCTTTCATTTGCCCAAAAGGTTCCTTACAGTGGGGAATAAAGTAATTCAATTATTACAATATTCTTGACGCTAGGAGAGAAAATCTTTCTTTTTAAGAACTTTTCACTGAAAGTTTCTTTGGAGAACCAAGTTGTTGTGTATATAACATCTAATTTCACTTTACCAGGTGATTTGCAGCCATAGACATTAGTTAAAATAATTTTACAAGCATTTACTTGCTACATTGGTGAGAGACAAAATAAACACACTTGTGGGTATATACAGTATATAACAATAAAAAAGACCTTCATAAATCATCTAGAAAATGAATAAAATCATGAAAAAATTGAGAAATTACCAGCTAATATCATTTTTGCAACATTTTGTATTATAAAAATCCAAAAGAATAAAGGTCAGATCTTAGTGATACCTGGTTTTCAGGAAATCTAAAGTTATAGTACCTCTTCTAAGAACAATAGCTAACATCTCTTTATCATGTCAGGTCTGTAGGAAGACAGTTTCTATGCCTCTGTGAAGGTTCTTTATTGGCATCTATGGTTCCATGAAGAACCTTTAACATCCATGGGACCAAGGTTTTTTGTAGTCAAAAAAAGGTTCTTTAGATTTATTTTAATGTTCTAAGAAAACCAATGATTATTTTAAGAACTGTTCATTGAAAGTTTCTTTCTTTTATGGCATTGCTGCAAAATCCTCCTTTCAGAACCTTTATTTTTGAAAGAGTGCTATGATTGACTAAAGAAGTGGATTCACTTTTTAAATCTCACATGCTGTAGGCAACCGTACTCATGAGACATGTTAAGCACAGTTCAAAGTTCTGGTTAAAATTCAAGAGTTTCTCTGACCAAATACTCCAGTCAACGACACTGAGAATGAAAGCAGTGATAGAACAGGACAAGAGCTTACCTGAGCTTTGTCTCCTTCAGTCAGTTCCTCTCATAAAGTGTGTTTCGCCCTGATGTTTTTGGACTTTCATGCTTCTCTATTCCATCCTTCTGAGCACTTCAGTGAATTTCAAACCTCTTTTTTTTGTTTTATTCTGTTCTTGCTGTCTCTTCTCTCTCCTGTTTTCTGTGACGGCGGTTTTAAAGTTGAGGTGGTGTAGCTGCTTCTCCAGACTATCTAGGCAGGAAAGGAGGTTGTAAAAAGAAACTGAGTGTGTGAGCGAGGGAGGTGAATGAATTCGAAAGTGTCTACATGCTGTGTGTGGATGGAGTGTGTGTATGAGTGAATGAACAACAGAGAGAGAGAGAGAGCACAAACGCGTCGCCCCTGAGGGAAATTCCTCCCTCCCTCGCTTTCTCCATCTCCTCTCTTTCTCTGTATCTAGCCCCCCTCCTATCATCCATACTATCGCTCTGCCGCTTCCCCCAGCCTCTCTCTCTATTTCTTTTCTCCATATTGTTTGATTTGCGTTTCATCGCCTTTTCACATCCAAATAAATGAACTCATTCTTCACTTTGTCTCCAAATGTCATTTTTTTTCCTCCTCATATCCCACGTTCAGAACAGCCGGTTTCTTTTTCAGCTCCCTGTTTTTCTGTTCAAGGGCTTTGGAATGTATTTGCCCTAGAAAATCCCCAAAATCATGAATAACTTACAGGGTGCTGGCTCACAAACACACAGGGCACAAATAGATGGGCAGCACGTATAGCTCAAGTGTCTGTTAATCTCCAAATGCACAGCACACATTCACTGTATGACGGTACATTACCCACGCTGGAATAATAATTGCGTGTGATGCAGAAAGTACTTTTGGATTTTTTTTTTTTTTTTGGCTTTTTCTCTGCATGTGTTGTGAATAAAACATAATAGGATTTTTGACGGTTCTCCTATAAGCTTGTGCAGCAGAAAATAGTTTGGTAGTACATGGATACTTTCACCATGTCTTTTACCATGAATTTCAACAAGCTTTTGATTGACATAAAGATTTTAATTTTATAGTCATATGAATGTATAAATAAACTATTTATATTAAGTTCTGTGACTGGTCATCATGTCTAGTAGTATATATATATATATATGTGTGTGTGTGTGTGTGTGTGTGTGTGTGTGTGTTTTCCGCTTGACTTTTAATTGTTTTAAAAGTTTATATACACATTCACACTTGTTTTTTTTTTTATTGATTTCTTAGCGTTTACATGTCACTTCATGTAATAAATGAAATAATAATATAATAATAATACTAATATATAAAATCAATTAATAAGTGATAAATATAATTTACCAAATGTGTATCAGGTGTTATTGTTTTTTTAAATGTACATTTGTCAAATTTGAAGAGAATATGAATATTACACTTTTCAGTCTAATAATGGATAGCTTTTCTAGCTTCTCTAGCAGGAAACTGGTTTGGTTTGGGTCTTTTGAGCTTTTTTTAATATTATTATAATATTCTAACCTTGTTGAGATATTTCACTAAAGGTCAAAATGAAATCTGTTATTTCATTTACTTCTTTTGTATATAATTTTTCCTGTAAGAATGTCCTACTTAATTAGTAACAGTAAAGGGTTAATTGACCTAGTATGTGATGCTAAGAGTTTGCAAAGAACATGAATATGAATGTAAATTCAAATTCTTTCTCTGAAATGACTGCAGTACCTCTCTGCCCGGGTCTGACTACACCTTCCTTCACTTTCGCTGAGGTCTCAGTCGGATTATGGATTACTACGGAGTCTTATTATCTCTCTCACCCATATGAGCAGTAATGTAGTGTGAAGGGAAGGGGTTGAGAGTTTAAATGAAGACCTCCTGCTGGTTAAGATCTCAGAACGCACACCTGCCTCAATCCCCACATTTGGGTTCCTGCATCTCTGCTTCCAGACCTGGAGGGGAGAAAAAAAACTACCGTGTGATGTCGCACCATGAGGGGGGTGAGTTTGTCTCCCGTTCTCCTCTTCCTCCTTTGAGACATCTAGAGCTCCTCAAGCCCCCAGCCTTGTTAGTGAGCATGTCTGATTTGGCCCTTTCGCTGTGTGTCTCACACTTTTTTCTTACACTTTCGGTGCCACTCTATAGAACCTAGCGTCAGCTGTGATCACAGTCATCTTTCATATTTTTTTCACGATTCCTACAACTTTTTTATCTGTCTTTCTCACTATACAGAGAACACTGTGTTGAATTCTGTCTCCCTCTCTGGCATCATGATCCTCATCCTTGCCATTTCTCCCTTTCAGCGAGATGCTTATCTTCCACAGTTTCTGAATTCCTCTTCCTTCATTAAAGTTTCTTTTTGTTTCTCCTCCGTAGGCTGGATTTAGAGGAATCGGAGGGAAGTCAGACCACAGACTCTCAGAGGGTGGCCGTTCTTCAGGTTCAGCCTTCAAACAGAGCGATTGTTTGTGGAGTTCCACAATGTTCCTCTTATGAATCTTTTGTGTTCGTCTTGGCCTGGCTGGCTTAAGATTAAAAGGCAGGCCTGAGTTCTGAAAATAGCATTACATGGCTGTCAGCTCAGTTTTCACTCTATTTAGTCTGTTTTATTATTTTCATTCAGTTCTCTTGATTCATACAGTATATTAACATTTTTCAAATCAGAATGTCTTTTATTTGGCCAATACAAAGATGATAGCGCAAATTTTTGATGCTACTGAGGTCACTTTTCTGCAGAAAATTCTCAGAAATGTAAATAAGGGATCTTATTTTGCAAATAAAAGCTTTCCATGAAATGATGGACTGTTCACCCAAAAATTAAAGTTCTTAAATTAATTTATTCACCCTCATTACGTTCCAAAACTGTATGATTTTCTTGCTTCCATCGAGCACAATAGGAGATGTTAAGTAGGATGTTATTTTGCTCTTTCAGTGTAAGTGAATAGTGACCAAAGGCTGTCAAGCTCCAAAAAAAGAGCAGTAAGCCCATATGACACATGCATGCCCCTATATTTCAAGACTAAAGTTGTTGTTTACTGATAGTCTTACTAATTTTGGCCTGTTGTGGCACATTAGTACCACATGAGAATATGAGAATCTCTTTTTTTTTTGTATAAAAATGACGTCAGACCTGGTATGATACCTCTTGACATTTCATATTTAAATAGGCATGAATGTAATTTCAGGGTCCCAGACGGAGTAGGAGTGTCAACATCAGGTTGCCTGTGAAAATAAGCAATTAATAATGCAAGTCAGGATACAACCTCCAGACAACGTCTTCTTCATCGCCCACATAACCAAGAAAGGTACTACAAGTTCACCATTCAAACACAGATAAAACCTCACAAGTCCACGTGTTCCCATTAAATGCTTTAAGACATGGACTATCAAATAATTAGATCCTGAAAAACATTAAAAAATGTTTCTTTTTTTCTTTTTTTTGCATAAGAACACCTTATAATGACAATTCTTTAAATACATAATGGAAGTGAAATGGAAATGTATTTGCATCCAGCTTGTAGCTTTGAAGCTTTTAAGAGCAGATATATAAGCACGTATTTAAGGAGGAGTTATATAGGTGCTGTTTGTTATTCTTAAAGGCATTAGGGATGTTTATGGTATAAATTAATTATCTAGATATGAAAGGGTTAGTTCACCCCAAAATGAAAATTCTGTCATTAATTACTCCCCCTCATGTCATTCAAAACCCGTAAGACCTTCGTTCATCTTCGGAACACAAATTAAGATATTTTTGATGGAATCTGAGAGCTCTCTGTCCCTCCATAGACAGCAACGCAACTGAAATGTTCCCAGGCCCAGAAACGTAGCAAGGACATCGGTAAAACAGTTCATGTGACATCAGTGGCTCAACTTCAATTTTGCGAAGCTACCAGAATACTTTTTGTGCGCAAAGAAAACAAAAATGAAAGACATCGTCAGAATAGTCCATCTGCCATCAGTGGTTCAACCGTAATGTTATGAAGCGACGAGAATACTTTTAGTACGTGAAGAAAACAAAAATGACTTTATTCAACAATTCTTCTCCCCCGAGTTACTGTCTTCCGCCATTTTGGAGAGTATCACGACGCATACGCACGCTTTACCCTAAGTGTAAACAACGCTGATTATGCCGATTATGTTCATGCGCGCACTTTCCCCTCTAACGTAAACAACGCCGATTACGCTCTTGGGTACTCTCCAAAATGGCAGAACACGTAACTTGGGGGAGAAGAATTGTTAAATAAATCATGTTATTTTTGTTTTCTTTGCACACAAAAAGTATTCTCGTAGCTTCGCAAAATTGAAGTTGAGCCACTGATGTCACATGGACTGTTTTACCGATGTCCTTGCTACGTTTCTGGACCTGGGAACATTTCAGTTGCGTTGCTGTCTATGGAGGGTCAGAGAGCTCTCAGATTCCATCCAAAATATCTTAATTTGTGTTCCGAAGATGAACGAAGGTCTTATGGGTTTTGAACGATATGAGGGGGAGTAATTAATGACAGAATTTTCATTTTGGGGTGAACTAACCCTTTAAGGTGGCATGCAAGAAAAAAAGTTATAAAAGAAAATCACATTTTACATGAGGCATTTTTTTGTATAAATAAAAATCGACTGTTTTGAAGTTCTCAGTGTCATTGTGATTGTATGATTAATGGTTAATGTGTTGTTGAGCAGCTCTTTGAGATGTATGGTTCCTTTCAGTGTCAACATCAATTTATGGCATATGAAAATAAAAACAGGAGAACTGCAAAAGGGAACAGTAAAAAGGTATCTCTTTGGTCTTGCATTGTAATGATTACCATACATTATACATAGCAAATCACTCTGAGAGTTCTAATATCTGCTTGTTTTTAAAAGGATGTGCTGCTCTTTTACTGCCTGCTGTATGTGCATTAGCAGGACAGTCGTTAAATCTCTGCTTACATTGCACTGCCGACCAAATGTGCAGGGCAACAATAAAAAAAACAAATTCTCAATGCGGTAAGGTTTACTTTCCTCCGAGACAGTGGGGCTCATAAATAACATGACTGAACAAACTTGCAAACGTGCTTAAATTTCTTTTTCAAAGGAAGTATCAGAAATGGGACAATAATGTCTGGATCGCTGACTCAGTAAGGATCATTTCTGCTCACGCTAGTGCACTGATTGTTCCAAAGGGACCAGTGGATGCCAGTAATGTAATATTAGCATAACATAGCCACACACTAACACAACAATGTGGTATTATAAGACTTTCTAAAAGGATTTGCTAAAAATGTTCTATGCTAGCTAATGCTACATTGTACCTCAAATAATCCTCCAGGATTTGGCTAATTCATTCAGAGGGTTTAAACGGCAAACATTAACACATGTAGTTATTTATTGTGATTATATACCAGATAAAATACCGTTCTTTTGATATAAGCTGGATTCAGCACTTTAAATGTGGTTTAATTAGGTTATGCTGTTTACGTTCAGTTCTGTTAAAGGAATAGGTCACCCAAAAATGAAAATTTGCTGAAATTATGGGAATATCTGTTTACAGTTTTTGACAAAATTATTTGTTGATTTGTTCTTTTTTAAAACTGTGCAATTAACAGAATTTTACTGTAAAATTACATGAAATGTCTGGTTAGATCTTTTACAGTTTTTCCATGTCCATAGTACGGGAACTTACTGTTAACCTATTAACAGCTTTTTCTTCCGTAACGTTTTTACAGCATTTTACAGTTAAAATTGCACTCATTTTTTATAGTAGGGCATCCAAGATGTAGGTGAGTTTGCTTCTTCATCGGAACAGATTTTAGCTTTACATCACTTGCTCACCAGTGGATCCTCTGCAGTGAATGGGTGCCGTCAGAATGAGAGTCCAAACAGTTGATAAAAACATCACAATAATCCACACCGCAGTCTGTCAGTTAATGTCTTGTGAAGCAAAAAGCTGTGTGATTTTAAATACATGTATTCTTTCTATATAAAAAGTCAGCACTATTGCACTATTTACCAGACGCAATTAACAATCCACTAATACTGGCTATGGAAAGCAGGCGGTAAACCTAATTTCATTTCAAAGAGGTGTCTGTGTATGCTTTCTATTGATCGTAGCAGCAGTAATTCATCAAAAGATGAAGAGTTTCATAACCAGGCACACAGTGTAGACAAGCGGACGTTTGGTGTATCAAAGAGCTGATTCAGGTGTCTGGGCTGCAGAGGTGCAGTGATGCTGTACAGTACAGATCAGGATAGTCTGCTGCATCCTGAACAAACAAGCAATTATAAATGACCTGCGTGACAGGGAACTGACCACAAATTGTGTTCAGCACTGATATTTCAACTGGTGTAATGTGTTCTTTCTTGCAAAATGTTTTGCTCAGTTTCCCCTAAGGGATTGATAAATTAAAGCTCTATGTCTATAGCTACATCTATATCTACATCTAGTCTACATCTATAGCTATGGGGGAAGTCGTGGCCTAATGGTTAGAGAGTCAGACACGTAACCCAAAGGTTGTGGGTTCGAGTCTCGTACCGGCAGGGATTGTAGGTGGGGGGAGTGAATGTACAGGGCTCTCTCCCACCTTCAATAACACGACTGAGGTGCCCTTGAGCAAGGCACTGAACCCCCAACTGCTCCCTGGGCGCCGCAGCAAAAAATGGCTGCCCACTGCTCTGGCACTTGGCCACATGTCGTGTCACTTCATTGACATTTCAAAATTCCATTCCAGTTGACATGTTTTAGCATCCAAGTATAATTGTTTCATGCCAGTTGAGTGAGTTTTCATTAACAATATGGTGAGGAAGACTGTGGCAGTGTTTGTAAACCTAAAATGATCTCTTCTCTGGAGAACGACATGCTGAGCTTGTTATTGCATCAAGTTGCAGGCAAGTGCCCAGGGCTGGTCCTCAGATGAACAAGCCCCAGGGCAATCAATGGACAATAAGCTAATAGGAAGCTAATAGCGCTAGGCTAATAGTTTCTGCCAGAAGACATCAGATAACAAGGGTTTCGTTTACAGTTAAAGAAGTTAAAGTGTTATAGAAGTTTTGTTGCAGTGTAGCTTTTCCCCTCTGTACCAGACCCATGCTGCTATCATACGGTGGACCTTTATGTTAAGAAATGAACAGGTTGTGCTGAGGGAAGGGGCTAGACTTGCACACCTGTGTGCAGATGTGACTAATTACCTTGTATGTGTGAGAGTCTGTGGTTTCTTTCTCAGGAGAAAAAAAGCCATTTGGACGATGAGAAGCGCGTGTTCCGCTGCTCTGTCACTGGGGCCGGTGCGAGGGGCACTGCAGGGGCGCTGGACAATTACCACAAGTCACACGGCATCACCTCAATCAGAAGTGGCCTGGAGCGGCACGCTTTCCTGTGGCTCTATTTCTGGGATGGTGCAATAAAAGGTGATACATGCAATGTCCTATCAGTGACATCATTTCTGCCAGATACATACACGTGCAGAAAGCAAAAGCATAAAAGCGCTAAAATGTTCCATCGTTTTACAGTGGTCATGTCAAAGTTGTTTGGAGGTGTATCATGGTAGCACATTGATTTTCTTTAAAATAACACATAAATGCAATTGAACTTGTATGTGTTAATCATTTAGCACCATGGTATAGGAGAGACCGGGGCTTGTTGTCACACAGGGAAGTTTTTACAAAGATTATATCCAAGTAAACTGTGAATAGTTTGTAACGTTTGTTTTAACTGTTGTCATTTTTTACACTTCATCATTTGTGATTTCTGTTTGTAAATATAATATTATATAATGGGTTTAACGCATTTTACATCTTTAAAGTATGAACCTTTATAGAATCTTAATTTAAATGA